CTTCTTTCCACGTTAAAAACACCAGCTAACCATAACATGCTCTGCAGAGCATCTCTTTCTGAAAGACAGAAATAAAAGTAATTTAAAACAACAAAAAAAAGGAGTCCTATTTTTACAGGTTTTTCATAAAAGAGTACACCTTCACTGGGAATGTTAAATGGAAATTCCATTAGATAGAGTAGTTTGAAAGCTGCTGATTTCTGGTGAATGGGCTCAGCTGTGGTTGAGTGCATATGCAACACAGCAGATTTTGTGTGTGAGACCAGCCTGACAGCTCTGGTAAGGACAGAAAAGGTCACAGATGGGCTGAACTAAAAGAAATCAGGACCCCAGCTTCTGAGCAGTTCTGGACACAGGGTAGTGCTGCTTCTCTGGGACTGACTCTGCTGAGCAGTAGTTGACTGCAAATGATACAATCTGGTTTGGAGACTTTCAGGAACAGCAAAGTTGCCTAAAGTATCTGGACATGGGATGGGCATGGTGGGGGAGGGGAATGGTTTTCTAATTTATTTTGCACTTGTGAAATCGCCATCAAAATTCATCAAGTCCCAACAAAGTCACTCATCTTTTTTGCATAATCCATTGCTGTGAGAGGCATAAAACAACAAAGCAAGTATGAGCAGAGCCTCTGTCTCTGGGAGCATCACTTTTTCTTTCCCTCAAAAATACCCACCTCAAGAAAGCTACATGCTGAATGTTATAGGTATTACTCCACACAATTCTTTCTCTTCCATGTTTCAAAGGGATGAAATGGCATACGACTTTTATCTTTTTTAAATTATAGCTCTTTTTATTTATAAAGACTTCAGCTTGAGAAGCTGTTAAAAGTAATAAACCACATCTTTCTCAGAATACAATTCCATTATTTAATCGTGCCCAGAGGCAGCAAAAACACTGGAAAATAATTGTCTTTTCGTCACTCAAGCATGAAACGCCCAACATTGTTTGAAATCTAATTCTAATAAACGTTTAATATTCTAGTTCAGAAATCCCTTGACCATGGGTAAGTACAATCTCATTTCTCAGTCTTTTAAAACAGTTTGATGAAGTATCCCAGCAGGCATAAGTTGTCTTTTCTTCTCTAGATTTTTTTTTCTGTTGGCAAGGTTTCACTTTTTGCAGCCAGATCTACCAGATCACAATTTCAATAATATTTAAGCATCTCCATAAGACATTCATTCATTTAATTTCTTCAATCTAAAAATTCTCTTTTAATTTTTGGGAAAACCACATATGAAGAAAATGAAGCACAGGGAACAGTGGATGCAGAGATTCTGTAGCTAAATGAATATGGGAAGACTGTATTTACTGCAGTGGCATTGTTTTGGCACAATTTGTCTTTCTTGGAATTTTTTTTCCTACTAATTAGCAAGTTATTAGAGTATTTTAGTATATTTTTCCACACCATGATCAAGAGATTTTTTTCATATATCACAAAATCACAAGATTCTGGCACTTAGAAATAAACTAATTAATTAATGTTAACATTGTAACTTATAATTATAGGCCTGGTAAGTTAAGACACACACTAGGATGATGTTGTTACAGGACTGGATGTCTGTTTCATTCTGAGGACAGGAGAATGGAAAAATAAACACAAGATATGAGGATTGATATTTACTACAAGTGGCCCATAAACAGTAGACTTAGATTCACATTAAAAGCTAAAGTCCTATAAATAGTCCTACCTATAAGCTGCTTTGATACAGATGCTATTAAATAATACAGAGTTAAAAAATAAAACCTTTGCAATATGGAATACATCCAGTGCTTTTTATAAACTCTGACTAAAGTGAAACAATTTGAGCATGGACAGAAACCATATTGCAAGTTACAGTTTGTGAGTTACTCCTCCTTTTAAAAGCTCCAGTGAAGTAACTGGGCCATTTCATGTTACAATTGAAAAGATCAGGGCCTAAAATAGTGCAGGTGAAACAGGGAATCTTAAATTACTTTTAACTCCTGCAGGTACATGCAGAGTACCTGAATCAATCAAGAAAATGGGCTACTGACCTGAAAAAAAGAAAATTAAATAAGCACATGGCAGAGAAAGGAGAATAGGTATTTGCAACGGTGCAGTAGTTACACAAGAAGAATGCAGAAAAAAAAAAAACAAACCAGGAGACAACAATTTATATACCAAACAGCTCATTAAAAGCATTGCTAATTTTTTATAAAGCAGAGCAAATACAAAAGAGGCAGTTAGCATTTTTGTATATTTGGGCATAGATAATTTGTATATTTGCCATAGATTTGGGCATACTGTTTTTCACTATATTCATTAAAAAGTGAAGCCATCTCCCTTTCCCAAAATGTACTGATTGGAACCTGGGGAATGAACCTCACCCTGAATGCTGAATTCCAATTACATTTGGAAATGTCTAAATAATTTCTTTGTTTATTTCTTTGAGGAAGGTGTTTAGATTTACTTTGATTATGTGTGAGTTTTATATATATGCATATATATTTCTAAATAATGTTAAGTTTTTTAGCAGAATAAAAAAATATTATTCTAAATATGCATTTTTCACTAAGATTATACTGAATAACCTTAAAGACTATCAAGGTAGTACACAGCACAGAGAATAGCTGAATTCTCTGTCCTCCTGGATTCCTATTTGCCTTGCCAAATCTGTAGTGAAAATGTAATAAAGGGGCTCGGTGAGTGGATTTTAAATTAACTGACAATTTGAGCTTAGAATGATCACTGTTTTGTGACTATTTGGGGAACATGACTGCTGGAATAAAAAATGGATAACGACAAAAACTATTCTCCTCTGACAAACCATTCTTCTAAAGAAATTGAACTGTGTTTTGTTTTTTTTCTCCTCGGCAGAGAGATGATACTTAATCCATTGAGATGTAAAAACTCTATAAAGGAGACTCTTTACAGGAGCACTTAGGTCACTAGGTTAAAGAAAGTAAATGGTATTCCTAATGGAAGATAAACGGTTGCCCTGTGGGGTTTTATCTGTCATACTAATCTCAGAAAGCATTTCATATAAAAGTAGAGTTAAAGAGACTTAAAGCAAGCTTCGTCACTGCAGTAAACTAATACCTGTGGCTTACTGCCTCTGCCCTACATATGTGAAGTGTTTCAAATGTTTGGCAGGAAGCTTTTTCCCACATTTGGCTAGGCGTACTCAGTGAACCCAATGTGAGATAATCCAAAACAATTCAGGTTCAACAAAGGTTGGGAAAATATTATAGAGGACGTAAAGCTTTGATGGAAAGCTTCTTTGATCTTGAGATTATAAAATACACAATTTCTAATCTGACAAATTTTTAGCTGCAAAGCAGAATATCTAAACATTCCTCTTTTGTCATAACAGTTTAATCCCTTAAGAATGTGATTTAAACCACTGGGGAGCAAAGGTTACCACATGATTTGTACGAAAGAGGAAACCTGCCCCAGACACCTAGATAGAAAAATGTGAAGGCCTTTAAATTATATAACTAAATACTATCTGCAGATTGGCACTGCCAGGTCACCTTCAGTTCAAGCTGTGTCAAGTATCTGTTGTTCCAAACATACTTGTTCACTGAATGAATACTAAAACACTTATGATTATTTTAAACTTTGGATTTTGTGTTCAAAATGACCCACTTTGCCACGCATGAAAAATAGCATCAGTACAATAAGAGTTTAGGTATCAAGAGCTGTGGAGTGGGAGGTTTTGTTCTGGAGTTGGTTTTGAGCATTTCTGATGTATTTATTAATCTCATAAAAGGTATTTCTTCTTCCTACCAATCTTTCTTAGGGCCATAGACTGAAAAATCTGCCACTAACATAAAAAAAATGATTTTTAAATTAAAATCACCCTTACAAAGCATTGTCTACCTTTTAGGGCAGCAATTTTTGTAAGGAAGTACGATCAGCAAAAGTAAATACAAAATTGTTTTGAGTTATGCACACTATGATTCAATATCACAAGTCACACATGAATCCATGCATTGGAGTTCATAAAATATGTCTTTTGGTGCTGATATACCAGCACAAATCATTAGCCATTAACTTGATCATAAAATCTAATAGAGCACTAGACAGATTCTAATGTCTTTTAAAGTCAGTTGGCTCAGACTTCAAGCTTATTTTTTGAGAAAAAAAATCAAACAACAAAAATCTTATTTATTTCCTCTCTGAAACTGAAAGCAAAGTTCATCTTTTTGTTTGAAAAGCCAACAAGTAGAAATTTAATTCCATGGTGATTTGATTTCCATGAATCTGCACATTAGTGTTTGTCACTAATGTTTGCAACTAAATATCTTTATCCAAACTCCATTCAGTTTTCAGCTTTTTTAACAAATTGTTCCCTACCCTATAATCATGCCTGAAAAAGAGAAAAAGTCTGGGACCAGAAGACAGGGATTGAAATAATGACTAGAATGGGTTTTTTACAGTCATTATACAAATGAATATAAATAGTGATGATTAATACATGGATTGTCAATTTAGAAAGCATAGCCCAGTACAATGTTGTATTACAAAATGAGGAAAACATGGATCTTTATGGTAGCGTTTTTTACCGTAACCAAACTTTTGCTTATACTTGGGCAGAAATCTTCCCATTCAGTGGGGAAAAAATAATGTTGATAAGAATGAATCTCCATAATCTCAAATTTAGAAGAAATCATATCAGAAACAGTAGGTATATTAGTTCCTGACATTGTGTTAGTTCTTATGTTTCTTCTTCCTACATTAATGATAAAAGTATTTGTTTTTTCCCTTGTCAAAATATGCAACTCTTTCTCTTAATCATTCCAAAATCATCACAAAAATTAATTTTACAAAAAAAACCCTCAACAAAAATCCCACATACACCCAACAAAACCCACACAAATTTTGGTCTGTCACATTAAATCCAGTGAAAACCACCTAATAGGTGCAAAAGGAGAGTAAGTTGGGAAGAGAGGCACCCTAATTGCACAAACCCGATTCCTTTTGGAAGCAAGTATATATTTGATTAGAAATAGGATTTTTAAAATAGCTGCACACTTACTAATCCTTCTGTAATCACAGCTGATCTTCTCCACATGCCCTGTAACCACAAAATGAGGCTTCTGACCCAGTGTAGGGAGGTAGGGTCTCCGCTCCTCATGCACAAAGGTTGAATTAAGGACGTGGTATTCCTGGAGCTCCACAGAATTTGCAGTATGTGGCTCTGCCTGGCTCCTCACCTGCTCAGGCAGACATTACATGCAGGGATTATCAGGTCTTTTCCAGTTTCCCTAGGCTGTTTCTGTTTCCTGGCAGTGTAGAGTTTGGACCATTAAACTATATAGACTTCTGTATAAATCTAGGCTAATATTATAACAGACATTATTCATTTCAAAGGTCAAGACATCTACCATTAAGAACTCCCTTTACCATCCTCTATGTCTCTGAAATGCTATCCATATTTTCAGATTCTGTTATGCTCTTCAGCAAAACAATTTTGGATGTACAGTTGTGTGCTGATATAGCAAAATAAGAAAGTCCCATAACATTAAAAACATATTTTCAATGTGTTTCCATCACTAAACATCATTACAGCTAAATGGAATTGAGAGAACATATGATTTCTTAAAATAATCAGAAAGAATTTTTACACAGCATATCCATTACAACTTATTCCTTTCAGCCACAAAAATTATTTACAGAGGTTTCATAAAATATTTACATAATGTTTTCATTAAATACATTATTGTTAATATCCATCTGAATCAAAGAGTAGACACTGGGGAAAACCTGTGAGAGAGAAACAGAGAACTGGGAGAACACTCATGCTGAAACAAGCTACATACACCCATGTGACTGACCCAGAAACGATTTAGTTGTTGCCAGTACAGCTGTCTTTGAAATCAGCCAAACAACTATATTCTTCTGCCAAAAAAAAAAAAAAAAAAAATAAAAAAAAGAAACTTTCATAGTTTGGCATCAGTGTTTTGCAATCAGTTTGTCAGAGCAGCTATTTTAATTTTTAAAGTGATTCTTCTCTAATCTTTAATTTTTATCTCTTTAACAGTGTCTTGAACAGTCTTAACTTTCCTGACAGAAACCTCTTCTCTATGTATCCTCCTTCGAACTTACCTTTGTCATCTGCTGTTTCCATTGTTCTTCCACTGATGTGGATTCATTTCATTTGTCCAACTTTTGTCTTTGCTCTCAAGACAGATCAGTAAAATAAAACCAAACTCCTTATATGTTAAAGTCTGTCCTTGCTTCAGTCTCACAGTCTTTCAAAAGTCCCCTCAATGACCGATTATTTTGCTTGTGTTTTCTTGATATTGTCGGTTTTGACTGGATTTCTGCTAAATATTCCTGTGCAAGGTTGTAAAATCTTCCTTCTTTCAGAACATGCCTTTTTGCTATCAATTGCAGGTTGTTACTTCCTTCACTTGAGAACTTATTATAGTCCTAATGCACATAATAATATTTAATGACCACTTTCTTCCCCCATGCCAAATCTTTCCTGTCTGCTGACGTGTTGCGCAGTTATAAATCATCACTAGGATTTATCTTTGCTTTTGTTTAATTACACTTGAAAGGTTTCTTTTTGTCTTAGTTTTCTTCCAGTTTTGCTGTTGCTTTATTCATAATTTTTCCAACTTGTTGTCTCACTTGGATATTGAATTTTGAACCCAGACTTGTTCATATTAGTCTGTGAAAATAAACTGCAATATTGTCTTTCTGACCAATATTTGTGCTGTATTACAAATAGTCTTCTAAAGTGCTATGTTCTCTAGGAAGTTTTCATTTTCTGTCTTATTACAGTACACTTTGTTCATCCATCATCCACTCCAGCAGTTTTGTATCCTTGTCCTTGTAGGGTTAATCTCAGAAATTCTTATTTAGGCAGAATTCTTCACAGTATAACATTTTTGCTCCTTTTAAAGGTCCAAAACATGACAGAACTGAAGCAGTATCTCTGAAAGGCCTATGACTTTTTTGAGTTCCAAAAATGTCACTGCAGGTATCTACATTTAGACACCTGAATGATGCCATGTCCAGCCTAAGACTGGTTTTAAGCTCCCTCTGTAGTCCAGAACAAGTGTTCAAAACAAGAATTACTCTCCAGAGATGCACTTTTTCTATTCATTGACCAGAAGGGAACCCACTCATTTCACTTCCAGAGAGGTCAAGTTAGTTCAGTGCATCCTGTGACACATCCATCTAGTCATGGGAACAGTGGGTATTACTTTCTTCTCTGTGGTTCCTGAATATCTGAAACTGTCCTGATTTTTGCTATATTCATTTCGTTTAAAATTTAAGATGGAAAATTTACCCTTTTGTCTAGCTTATGCTGAGCTCTAACTAGTATGAAAATTTATCTGGTTTCAGGATCAATGATGGAATATATCTTCCTGGATTTCTTCACTTCAAGTGTGTGTCAGAAATAGGAATTAACTCAAATAATTGCAACATAGCAGACTGAAGAAAGATTAGGTTATTCTAGGAAAAGATCACCAAAAGAAAGTTTTTTGAGACAGCTTCAACAAAGCAAAATATACTCATATTCCCTAGTTCAGTCTGGGTTGGCTGACAGGAAGCTCTAAGGAGACAGCATTGCATTTTTTTTTTTTTTAATTTAACATGGAATGTTAAATGAAGTCAACAACATTAGCCAGAGGTCAAGAAAGTCTGAATTTCAATTTGATGAGGTTGACCATCAATCATCTGAAAGACCAATATTGCAAACCTTTGACTGTTCTGTCTCAGGAAGAATAAGTAACACAAAAGAGTGAACATCATTCTTTCCCATTGATTTTAAATGGAAATAAAGGTGACTGCACCATAAGTACTGAGCACCTTTCAGGACAGGACTTAAGAGAAGAGAAAATGAAACTAAAGTTATAAGAATAGCAGCCTGGAGGTATAGTTACACAAAATAGTCCAGGCAATAGGATGTTTGGAAATAGAGAATGTTAAGTAGATATTACCTGTGTGGAGACCAGGACTTTCAGGAATCCCTGAATATGATTCTCTATATATGATTATTTAATTATTAAATTACATCATTAACTAAATGTAAATATTTGAGTGAAGAAGATTACTGGAATATGACAAAAATATTTATAATTTCTTTCTCTGTAAGGACTGTCTCATAATGATTTGTGCAGAACAAAGCTAATTTCGGAGATGTTAGGAAGTTGGGATATTTAAAAAATAAAGAAGATTTACAACAATTTACATAGGGAAGGTGAAGAGGGGAGAGAACTCTAGAGTATTTAGCTGTCAATGTTATTTTTAACATAGATATAAATACTTCTTTCACCAGAATGGACATGCAGATTAAGCCCAGAGCAAACCATTTTAGGATATAAATGTTCTTCACACTTGTTTTCCTTCTTTGCAGATGATGGCAACAGTGAATGTTGCCAGAGAAATTTGTAAAAATAACCCTGAACCCAAATCTGAAATGAAGTGCCCTCCATGGAAAAACTGGCTAGGCTGGAAGAAGTTGGTTTCAGAGTTAGCTAGGCAGGAGGAGCATGAATAGAAGAACAGCTGAGTAGGATAAAAGCTTCATCTGGAAGGGACAAATGAATTATTTTGGAATTAGAACAAAATGTAGTCTGTTTCCTACTCAGAACCACTTTGAAGGTCTAGAGTCAGAAAATAAGAAACAGATTTGATTAAGTGAGGCCAAGTAAACATTGCTCATGAAGAGACAGGAAAAAAAATCAATACTACTGCAGGTAAATCTGCAGACTGGGAACAACAAGGAAATGAAGAATAATGAAAAAATAGCATGACCAGAAGAAAGATGAAAGTGTACAAAAACATCTGGTAATTACCTGCACGGTTCTTCAGAAAAGATAGCCTCCTACTCAGACTTAGTGTGCCAAGAAGCTTATCAAAAGTTCATTCTCTTGACAATCCAAGTTCTTGCTAAAAGGCTATAATTGACTTCTGATAATTTTAAACTGGAACCAAGAACAAGGACCAAGAAATGTGTAAAAAAAAAATGAAAAAAAGAAAATGGAGGAATTCTGCTCAAAGTGTCCACTCCAAAGTACTGAAACATTTTGTGTCAAAATCTAGAACATTGGCCATTTCTTTTGGGCAAGGCAAAGCAGGTGTCATTTGGAGAAGATTGTGATCATTAGGAGGACAGAATCACCTTCCCTTTAGGCATTTAAATTGAATAATAAACATTAATTCCTCCTTTTACAAAATCTTAAATTCCTTGGAAATTTACTTTCAACTGTATTGCTGTATTCAGAGCAGCATTCCCTTTCTAGTGCTTTCTAGCAAGAGTTATCTAGTGTTTAGTGTTTCTTGCTAGAAGTGAGCTGCTTCTTGGAGCTTCTCATGTAAGATATTCTGCTGGTTGGCAGGAAGCCTAAGACTTTGTAGTTCTGCATGCAAGTTTGTTCCAGGAATCCAGTCTTTGGCTCTTTATCCTCTTTTTTGTGCTACTGATCCAATGATTTTAAATTGCTTTTTAAAAGTAATTTAATGAACTAATAATGTTTTATTTCAGCTTGATATGCATTTGGTTGGTTTACTCGGGATACAGTTACCAAACATGACTCACCCCAGGATGATTATGTTTCAGTTTCAGCCAGGTGCTCCCAGGACTTGGCAACCATCATCCTAAAGCTGATGTCTGTACTAATTCTGCACTTAGTGACCTTCACGATGTGGGTGTTTGGAATGATTCTGTTGGCGCAAATACAAATTCTCTCATGCAACCATCTGTTCCTTGTGGAGAGGAATTTTCAACAGGTATCTGGGATGTTTCATCTACAGCACTCAGTTTTCAACACAACTCCCATATTTCTGGTGGGTAAATAATGCCTTCACTGCCTTGCAGAAAGGGCCACCAGTGATACTTGGAGACAGGATCCTTTTTCGGTCTTAACTGTAAAGGGAACCTGCTGAGCACTTCCTCAGGACACTTTAAAACAACCTCAAGGCTGAAGGCTGGTCTTTCAACCCAAAGATCCTTATTACTCCCATTCTTCCATCAAATAACCATTTTTATAAACCCCATGCTTACCTGCCCTGGCTGCTTCTGAAGATGGACCAGTACATGGCCAGTTGATGACCAAGGGTTTTGACTGGTTTGGTTGTAGCATAGTGTGCCCAACGTGCTTGAGTCTCTTTGATACCCTGACTTCAGGAACTACAAACATCATTCACAGAAATTTTTTCTTAATTTGGCCTACATCAAACAGCAGGCAGGGAGAAAGGTTTTCATTTTTCTCAATTAACTATAAGCTTAACAGCTAGTTCCTAATGTAAACCTTAGAGGATTCCTGTTCCACTG